CTTATTCCCTTCGGGACAGCGGCGGCCGTCCTCACTTGTCCTGGACAATTCAACTGCCCGAAAGCAGAAATATTTCATCCAAAGCGCGGCTGTCGCCAACCAAGCACACAGCTACGCCCTCTTGATTTCCGAGATATGAAGTGAAGTATGAGCGCTAATTAGTAACTCTACCTGTTCATAACCAGAGGAATAGCGCGAGTCAACTCGGTGTTGACAGCTTTGTTCAGTGAGTTTTCAATCGATCTGTCCGGACTTGACACAGTGGCTTTTACTTCGACTATGTTGGCCGGTCCTTCTTCAACCATTTGCTGGAAATGGTGAGTCTTAGGATGGACAGAATGAGCTCACACTCGTAGGTAACATTAGAAAATAGTAATTACTCAGTAAACGGCAAAGTCCTTGAGAATTTTTCGGCTTACATATCCACAAAGAAACTCTCTTTTTATATGTATCAGTAACGATTAGGTTACTGTTCTTTCATTGAAAGGCTTTGCGAACTTTGCTCAGTTAATTCACTGATACGTGTGACTCACTTGTGCCTTCCTCTCTTCAACAAACTCCAGCGTGTCACGATCGAAGTCCTTCGTGATGACGATTGGATTCGAGTGTGTTCCTGGACCTCTGGAAGCATTCTCACTCATAATGAAAACCATTGTTACTTTTATTGTTCATTGGTAAAAAAAGCGGCTGGCGCGAGCTTATTCCGCCCCTCCTGACACCGCCCCCGTCTGATGGCGAGCTGATAAGGGCGCTTTCCCTTCCTATTCCAGGGTTATTAGCGCCATCTGTGTTTCATAGTCGCGCACTCTGAAAAACCATAAAACAAACCCATGAGATGTGCCGATGCCAAAAAGGCCTTTAATTGGACCGGATGTGGCTGTGGTGTGAATCTGCTTTCCTTTCGCATTTAAGTAGATATGTACGATGATATTGTTGAGCACGTCGGGAGGGTTCTGAAACAGATTGTGAGCAGTAAGAAAATACAAAAGATCAATTTACTATCAAATAAATTAACAATTTATTTATATTTAATCATGATTTAGAGCTCGCACATCGCATGAATTGTGTAAGCGTTCCTCAGAGGTACATTCCACGTTTGTCTTTCGGGCGGAGCTGACCGTAGCATTGTACCTTTTTCACTAGTGCCTCCACATTAAGGCGGTGAAGGGGAGACGCACGTGGATGAAGAGGGCACAATGTCAGTATGTCAGTCCTGATCCAGCCCACTCGATCAGCGTGGAATGTCCCTTGCTGTGGCCATCTTGTCCATTCGCTAGCCCACTACTATTTAGGCCGCGTTCATACTTTGCCAACATGAAAAACCCGCGACTGAAGAGAATCGACGACTCGGAGGTTGCAGAAAAGGGAAAGCATAGGAACCGATTCAGAGTATCCGTGGTTTGGGGGGGGGTGTAGACAAAGGATAAAATGCATTTCAATGACTGCGCCCGCTCATGTATTGCAAATTCCCCACATAGAACGTGGATACGTACACTTCCTTTTGGTGCAATTTTTCGAATCGCCTAACCTTTCAAGTCGCGGATTACATTCGCGAAGTATGAACGCAGCCTAGTGGATGGGAAAAGTTGCCCTCATATTGATTCATGAAGGCAAGTACAGTCTTGTTTGCTGCATATGATGAGACGTGCAGACAGGCTGGGTTTGGGGCGTCGCCAGCTCGTTCGCCACCCGTTGGAAGCGGATAAGGGACAACATTTAGTGGAAAATATGATATGAATGATATGATATGAACGATATGATACAGTCTTGTCGCTTTCTAGCTCTAACAAGTGGTGGGAAACTGTTTGGCGACGTGCCAAACCCATCCCCGGACACGCCCCATTATCCACAAGACTGTAACATCTCTGATATCACTCAAAACGTAAGCAGAAAGGAATACGTAGGAATCACACCACACAGGAAGAATGGTACGAAATTTGGTGAAGCTATGACCTGTGATCGGCGCAGTTCGGCGACGGGGAGGGCATTTTGCACTTTTACTAGTTCCCATCGACGTGTCGACCTATCTAGACAGCCTCTTCTCAGTTGACAGGTTTTAATAGACTTTAACGAACCTTGCTCCAGCTTCGCAAGAATACACAGGTTTTACCAGAGCGAGACTTGTGACCGGAACTAGGGAAGCAATGATAGTACAAAATGCCCCCCCCGTCGCCGATCTGCGCCCCTGTGATCTAATATGCGTCTAAAAGTTGGCTAAAACTAGGAAAAAAAAGCTAAAACTACGTCTGATGTCACTCATTAGGTTTCTGTTATTTTTGTCAGTTGCTAAGAACACTCGATTATGTCAATAATGAAAAAGAAAATATAAACCTCTTGCGTAATCCTTGGCCTGGAAGAAAAATTCTCCTGCGGTTGGGCTGAAGGAGGACCGACCATGTGGTGTGGTACTATCTGAGATTGTCTGCTCATCAGTTATTCACCGAAACGAAACTTCGGCGATAAGATGGACGAGGGTTAGTTGGCTGAAGCGTGCGAGGTTAGCGAAGCCGTGCAAGCAGACATATACTGTCCCCTTGATATTATAACGACCCATAATTGTCAGCATTTTTTAGTGTACCTTAATATCAGTAGCACATGTTGAATCAGCTCTTTACTTTGAATAGTAGACATTAAATGATTACTGTACCTCCGGAGTGT